AATCAAATTGTGCACCTTGGAGAGTCCTTCAGAATAGAATTAGTTTCCTGGCCTCTTCTTTCTTCAAAATAACTCTTTCCTTTTAACCTTCCTTACCAAATGCACACTTCTGTACTTGTGATGTTTTCCATCTGCCAATTTCCTTGATCTACATTTCTAAATAACCTGTTAAAAATGTCAGATTAAGATGAAGGTAACACATCAAATTTCAGACCTGAGTTACTCCAAGCAATGTTGAACTCTTTTCATAGACAGTTTATAAACTAACCCAAACTTTTTTTATAGAATATAACATGCTGAGTATACAAAAGTTTACATTTAGACACATTTATCTCATTTGCCTTTATCCAATTTAAATTAGCAGTTACACCTAAATGACTTAAGATGCGGATATTAAATATTGCTATTGAATTCAAGTAAAGTTAAAATTGCATTCATCTAGAACAAGTACTAATTACCCATTTTTGTTTCATTGAGTACTGATTACCCGGAAACCTGTTAAAATAAATTCAAAAGAAGTTTAGCAAGTTACAAAGCGATATTTTCAAAGGTAGTGTTCTTCCTAGATTCAAAGAGAAATTCCTTCAAGCTCAGTGTCTTTTTACAGTTACAGTTGCATTTTTCCTAAGAACACCTTAGGCCCATGGTGTCATATTCAGTTGGCCACGTGGGGCTTAGGCACTTGACCTAAAACCCAGCAGACCAAAGGGGTGGGGTGAAGGAGGGAAAAAAGAGGGAGAAGGAGAGTGTGAGAGAGACAAGAGAGGAGAAGAGCTAGTGAGGAAAGAGAGAGATGAGAGGAGAGAGTGAGCAGGAGAGAAGAGAAAGGAGACCAGAGGAGGAGGCTAGAGAGCCATCTGGGGAGTGAACCAGCGGATGGAAGACTTTCTATCTCTCTCTGTCTCTCTACCTCTCTCTGTAACTCTGCCTTTCAAAAGATTTATTTTTATTTATTTTGAAAGGCAGAGTTACAGAGAGGCAGAGGCAGAGAGAGGGTTCACTCCCCAGATGGCCCCAATGGCCGGAGCTGCACCAAGCTGAAGCCAAGAGCCTCCTTTAGGTCTCCCATGTGGGTGTAGAGGCCCAAGCACTTGGACCATCTTCGACTGCTTTCCCAGGCCATAGCAGATAACGGGATTGGAAGTGGAGCAGCCAGGACTTGAACCAGTGCCCATATGGGATACTAGCACTGCAGGCAGCGACTTTACCAGCTATGCCACAGCACTGCCCCCCCCCCAACCTTTAAACATGTTAACTCAGAAATTGGTGGCATAACCCTATTGGAATCAAAGCCTTCTTTTGAATCTTTTCAGGTAGATTCCCTGCATTGTTGGATTTTGCTGCCATCCCACCAATAATCACATCCTCTTTGCCAGTATCATCTAAAGCAGATAACAAAAAGCCCTAGTGGCTAGAGTGTTGGTAGACATTAAAAAAATAGTCTTATTTGCACTGGAAATGAAAAGTGAAATTTGTCCTCAAAGTTATTTTCTTATATGGTCAGAATTGGATTCTTAGGCAGTTTTGGTGTGCTCAAAGTCCATTTCAAACTCTTGCTTGGTTCAGTAAACTTAGATCTATTCCATGAGGTTTTTTTTTTTTTTTTTAGTCCAAGGATGCAAAATCTATTTCTCATAATTCTTGCATTATCAAGCACAACCCTTCAGTAAAGAGTACATAGAAGTCTGTGAGAAAAAATAGATTGTACAATTTCAAATCGGGAAATGTGGAATCCCAAAGCCAAGAGTGGGCCTCCAAGGGACCCTAAGCTGGGACCCATCCAGAGCTGCAAGCTCCTTGTCTGAGGAATCAGGGATGTTTCCCGGTACTTTTTTTTTTTTTTTTTTAGTTTGGAAATGCTGTTGACCTTTGTAGATTAGAAAGTGTTGATAGTTGAAGATGGCAGATGTCAGGTTTTCTGAGGCAAATCCCAAAGCCCTCTCCCTGCCTGGTTTCTGTAGTGAAATGGTTATCATGTTTGCCTCACACGTGAAAGGTCCCCAGTTCACAACTGGGTGGAAACAAAGGAGCGGTTTTTGCGGGACCTGTCAGGCATTTTATCCTGGTCTGGGAACAACAAACCGAAAACCAGCCGATCCTGTAGCACAGGTGCTGGTGTTACTTACTTGATGTCTATCACCTTCAGTTTGGTTCACTGGACCCCAAGTCACCAGGATGAGGGCATTTGGATGTGGGGCCTGGGAGAGGTAATTAGACTTAGAAGAGGAATAAGACGGTGGTCTGCAAGCCAGGAAGAGTGCCCTGCCAAGGAACCGAATCAGCTGGCACTCTGCTAGTGGCAGCCCGCATTAAAATAGCTCACTAAGGGATTCAATGACAGGACTCTGCAAAGTTCATCATCTCCTTAGTTTCTTAGGTCAAGTAGTTCGTTGTCCTTAAATGTGAGTGCTGGCAAGAGATACTAGAATGATGAACATGTAGGAAGCAAGAGGCAGATAAGGTGCTAATGACTTAACTGATGAAAACAGGGATACTACATGGATTCAGGCTGCAGTTGTGTCCAGATTTCAGATGTGGACGGTTCACACAGGGTCCAGTGTAGAAGTGGATGGCATGGAATAGACTGGCTGAAGGGAAGGCAATTTTTCATCTGCTTTTATTAGTGGAAGTAAGAGATGATAGGTGGAAAGTAGTTGCAAAAAGTGGCAGTAAGCTTGTATTCAATAAACTTATGCCCTTTTTTACATTAAACTGGAAGCAATTTACGTTGTGAGAATGAGAAAGTGCATCCAAAGAGTACAGCAAGATTTGGCTTGGGAGTAAGTACATGTAGTAAGCAGGGGTACACATAGATTGTAGTGACCAATTCAAGCCCTCAGGTGATACCCTGCTCTTCAGGAGGTGCTGTTCTTGGGTCTGATCATAGAGTATTGCTGTGCGGAGTGATGTTGTGACGCTGACAGGGAACTGTCTGCTGTGTTGAGCATTAGCATTTGACCTGATGCAGAGATTTAGCAGAGACTCTAAGATGCATGCAACATTGAGCTGAGAATTGGAAGTTGAGAGTAGGAAGTGCAGGTTTGTGAGAATAAATATAGATGTTGTTGGCATATAGAGGTGGTATTTGAAGGTGTATTGGCTAGACCTGGTGTGTGTCTTGGGTGATGGACAGAGGACAAATAAAACCAAGGCTATGCAAGCTCAAAGTGAAGGTTGATTCCCTTGCTGAGCCCTAAGTTCTGACCCAGCGTGGACCTTGCATGGCCTCTCAGTGAGAGAAGCACGATGCCCTGTCACGGCTCCTGTCCTCCAAAGCCGTCAGGACTCCCACCCTGACTTGGGGAACAACAACTCTCCAGGTTCTTCTCCTCATCTTCCTTTCCCCAGGGAGAACTGGGTACACAACTCTCAACTATTTGAACTTCATCAAAAGACCAATATGTTAACATTTCAACCATCAACATTTCTTTAAAATAAAAGATCTCTGCGAGTGAGATCCCAGTAAAAGAATGGGCCATCAAAGAAGGAGGTACCTTTCTCTGAAGGGAGGAGTAACTTCCACTTTGACTATGACCTTGTCTAAATAAGATCAAAGTCACCGACCTCAAGAGGCTTCCATAGCCTTGGAAACTCATGACGAGAGCCTAGGGAGATTTCTGACGCCATAAGCAAGAGTGTCAAGTTGTTAAGTCAACAACAGGAGTCACTGTGTACTTACTCCTCATGTGGGATCTCTGTCCTTAATGTGTTGTCCAATGTGAATTGATGCTACAACTAGTACTCAAACAGTATTTTACACTTTATGTTCTGTGTGGGTGCAAACTGATGAAATCTCTATTTAATATATAAAAATCGATCTTCTGAATATAAAGTTAATTGAAAATGAATCTTGATGTGAATGGAATGGGAAAGGGAGCGGGAGATGGGAGGGGTGCGGGTGGGAGGGAAGTTATGGCGGGAGGGGAAGCCATTGTAATCCATAAACTGTACTGTGGAAAATTATATTTACTAAATAAATGTTTTAAAAAAAATACCCACGTCCTTACATAGCTGATAAATTAAAGCATACTAATTGAGGAAATTGGATATTCCCAAAGAAATCAACATTGACCTCAAGAGTTGTTGATCTTTTTATATCACACATCCCTTTACATGCTTTAAACATCATATAAAATAGACACCATGTTTTTATCATAAGATTGGTTATTACTTTTACAAAAAAACCATACATCCTACAAAGTACAATTCCATGAACCAAAATTGACTTCTTCATTTCTCTATGTTGATTCTGTCCTTTGGTTTCCTTTCTTTTGCGTCTGCTGCTGCTGCTTTCTCCTCTGATCAGAACTTTACTTACCTACCCCTACCAGTTAGGTCACCTTCTAAGAACCACTAAGGCAACACTTGGAAGCTGGCCGTTGGAGACAGCAGTAGAAACAAGCAACCTGAATGAATTTCTGATGTTTCACTATGGAGAGCTGTCATAGAGTTGGAAAGAACCTTTTTTGAGTTGCTTCAGGTAAAGTTAGACATTTTGATATTGATAGTTTTGTGAAAGTCTTCTATTAAAATACTTCTGTATGGGTGCGTTTGTTAGCTTTGACTCAACACTACAATAAACCTCTTTTGCAAAAATGGCTCTTTTTGGGGATACTCTCAGGAGTGACCACTTTGACTGTGGTAGTGGTAGGTGCATTGGTGGTTCAGTGGTAGAATTCTCACCTCCCACGCGGGAGACCCGGGTTCGATTCCCGGCCAATGCAGCTTTGCTCTTTTTGGAATCTTTACACTTCTCTGTGAAATTGCACTGCATAGGCTGGTGCTAGGACCCTTGTCTAGGCGATCCTGAACTGATGACAAGAGTCCATGAAGCAGCAACACAATCTTAGTGGGATCTCAAAGTTACTACACTCAATAAGAGCGTAGGAGAGTTTTTGCAGTTTGGAATGTTGGTTCTTGGAGCCACTGCCACTACCACCTAGGCTCCTGGACATTCCTGAAAACTTCCAAACACCCAGGTCTTCGATCACAGAGTGGACCTTGGGCTGAGCGCTGAGCCGCCTCCCTGTGGCAGGAGAGGAGCCGCGGAGCCGGCGGGCGCACCTGAGGGCCTGGGGCACAGACACCGTGAACCAGATTTCTTGGCCTGGGCCGCCATCTCTGCCTCCGTAAGTTCAATGCTGTTCAGAGAATGGGTCCGCGTCCCCCGCAGTGTGTGCGTCAACAGGTGTTGGCCTGAAAATTACATCTTTAATAAAAGAAAACAAAGTGTTTATCTTTAAACAACAGTCAAATGTTGAGGAAGAACATGTAGACCTCCTGACCGAAGATAAGCGACCTAAAAATTCCTTTCTCTTCCCTGAAAGAACCTCTATCCCCTGTAGCCTGAGAGCTGAGACTGGGGGAAACCACACATCCTGAGAAGAGGGGCTGAGTAACAAAGCAAACTGAATTGCCAACTGGTGAGGCCAAGGCAACTTAGGCTGGCTGACAAGGTCACAGCAGAAGGTGTCTCAGCAAGGCGTGAGAATGACAGCTGTGGTCCTCTTGGTGGTTTTAGATTTGATGGGAACTACACTCTGCATAAGAAAGCTAGAGCTTCCTAGTGGTTCTGCTAAGGATTGCTGCATTTCTAATTTTAAGTGCAATAAAGAAAATAAAGAGTTACAGAGAGAACTACAAAAGAGGGGATACATTTTAAAAAGGGCCTGCTTTGAACTTGGGGCTTCTGGTAAAGATTAGATTAGGAAGGTACTATTCTAGCTTGTGTAGCCAGTTTCTGCATAGCTGGACAACAATCCAGGCCTTGGCTTGTGTGGGCAGCCCATTGTCTTGCACCTGTCTGTGATTGTAACCCATGCTCTAAATATGCACCCTGGAAATCAAAGAAACTGTAACTAGATGTAGACATAGAATCTAGAGGCACCATAAAATACAAGGTCAATGGTTCTAAGTAATGGACAACAGACTTGCTATTGTAACAAGAAAGAATCACATGTGATTTATGCTATGAAGATAAGTCTGGTGCCTGAAAGCTAGAGCCATGCCTTCAGCCTTGCTGTGAGTGTGTCTCTCATTTCTTCCTGTGCCAACGCCTCTCACACCTTCAGGAAATGCTGGACCGGCTGGAGCTGGACTCTGGCACCCAACTTGCACGGTGTCCACTGTTAAGTGAGGGAGTCGATAGAGAAGGGCTGGAATCATGGTAAGTGAAAGCGGCACATGTGAGAAAAGCCAGGTGAAGACGCAGGCATCAAAGCTCTAAATTTTGCTGTGTTCTCCTTGCCAGTAAAGGAGCCTTTCAACACGCATTGGAGGAGATTCACTCAACTCTGCCTGGGGAGCCTTCAGTGCTCTGCTCTGAGGCAATGGCCTCAGAATAGAATATGGAGTCCTCATGGACTCACCCACACTTGTCTTCTAAACCCCTGAGGAGGTGCAGTATATTCCAAAAGAGCTACGTGACTCTTCCCATTTACAAAGACAGAAACACATGAGATATATGTGGAAATTGATATTAAGGGTATAGGATAATAGTGAAGGAGTCGTAACATTGGATGGATGGACTTTCAGAATGCCTTACTCACAGTGTGATGACGATGGCGTGGCTTCTGGTCAAGGAACTCACTCTGTAGCAAATGAGTTGCAGCCGTGGGCCTAGGCTCATGGAATTCATTGATTTCACCACATTCTCTCACATCCTGAAGCCTCTGGTCTGATTAGAACAGTGGAATGACCTCTTGAAGCCTCAGTTACCATGCCATCTATGTGGGACAAGGTTTTCCAGGCAACCATTCACCAGGCGGTGCTGTTTCTCCCATAGCCAGGATTCACAGGTCCAGGGACCAAGGAGTGGAAATGGAAGTGGCACCATTCATTATTACTGCTAGTAATACATTAGCAAAATTTGGCTTTCTCTACCTTTGCCTTCACATTCTTCTGGTCTGGAAGTCTTAGTTCAGAAGGGAGGAATGTACCCATCAACAGACAATGGTTCTATGGAACATTAAGACTGCCACTCAGCTGGAAAAGGAGCTAAAGAAAGCAGAGGCGTCGCTGAGACAAGGAGACCTCCCAGGAGGCCTGCGGGGAAGCACCGGCCAGATCCCAGGGGTGGGAATCGTGACTGTGTGGAAAAAGAGGGAAGAAGCGGAGATGCGCATGGGAGAGAAACGCTCGAGGATCTCTACACGTCCAAGAAGGAGGCAGCGAAGAGAGTATTTTGCTTTGTTTTTGAAGTCGCAAAATGATAGGCGGCACAATGGTTGCCAGCAAGCTTCGCCAGCCTGGAGGTCTGCAATTCGAACCGAGGTCACCGCGACACCTTCTAGCTCGCAGCTGCCGTCGGGCCGGTGTGGCTCGGCGCCTGCAGCCACCGGAGCGGAGGGAGGTCCCTGGCTCGAAGCGATTCGAAGAGGAGTAAACCTCACCGTGCACAAACCCGGAGCCGGCCACGTCAAATAAGGAAATTTGGATGTGCTCTTTGTCACAACTGGACGGGAAATACCCCCAACGGTGAACTGCTGCCTCGCAGGGACCCGCGGAAGGAGTTTCCACTAATGAAATAGTGTGGTTTAGCCATTCTCCCAGGAGAGCTATTTCAAATACCAGTCGGACTTCTCTTCTCTTCTCTTCTCTTCTCTTCTCTTCTCTTCTCTTCTCTTCTCTTCTCTTCTCTTCTCTTCTCTTCTCTTCTCTTCTCTTCTCTTCTCTTCCTTCTCTTTCTTCTCTTCTCTTCTTTTCAGACTGGCTTGTCTCCACTCCCTGTATCCTAGTTTTTATGGGAACAATAAATTATTGCACTACAGTACACATGGCAAATTATTGCATTATGGTACAGAACTTTTTAAAAAGAAGTGAGTTTTGCGGTATGTTTAATTTTGACAAATGCAGTCAGCACCCAGTTCAAGTTACAGAAGATTACTATGATTCAAGAAAGGTGTGTGGAGCCCCTTTCCAAGCCATTCCTTCCCTCTCTCTCTCTTAGTTAATCACTAATCTGAGTATTATCACCAGAGCTCACAATTGCCTATTTTTAAATTCATGTCAATGATTGTACAAGGGTACTTCAAGAAGATTGTGGAAAATGGCTGTCAAAGGTAAGTTTCCTTGGCTGTAATTTTTTTTTTGAAATCCATTCAGATGAGCAGTCTTCACCAAGTTCACCCAAAAAATCATATCAGGAAAAAAAAAATGCTTGGATTTCAAAAATGTTTCATCAAAACGAATGTTTTAATTCCATTTTCTATGAAATTTTTGAAGCACCCTTGTGTACATTTTTGTATGTGGCTTCTCCCCACTCCCAGGTAATTATGCCCATTATGTTTATGAGATATATCCAAGTTATGTGTATCATTTCTAAATTTTGGTCCCAAACTTTCCTGAGCTTTTGATGGAAGAACAAGTAGGAAAGTCACTGAACCCCATATGGAATGCTGGTCTTCCATGGCTGAAATAAATATCTTCCTAGGGATTTGTTTCTTGAACTCCAAATATTGCTCTGAATTAATTCAAAACTCACTTTTTAGTTAAGTTTTCTGCCAGTACCATGTATTCAAAGCAATCTAGATCAGTTTTCTATTCAGTGTAGACATGCATAGCATGTCTGTACTATAATTTATCTAGCTAGCCCATAAATGTAGCCATCTAACCCCCCCCCCCCCAAGCTTGCAAAATGAGTGAGCAATAGTAAAATGGTTGTATCCATGCAGGTATCATTATGGAATCGGAGCAATTATTTCTCTGGGGGCAAGCATTTAAGTGTGAGTCCTACGGTTTTCTTTTCGGAAAAAGAACACGTTTGTTTCCGCCCGGTTTTGAACCGGGGACCTTTCGCGTGTTAGGGGAACGTGATAAAAACCACACTACAGAAACCACCGCCCAAAACCTCTCCCTTCAAAGCTGGCAGCTGACCGAGAAGGTTTCCTCCCTGTGCCCTCAGAGCCCAGTCTCTCTGGTGCAATTGGTGAGCGCATTCAGCTGTGAACCAAAAGGTTGGTGGTTTGAGCCCACCCAGGGATGGTACACAGATGAGCACATTCTTGTATCTACTTCTCTGCTGTCCCCACAAAGGCCACTTCCCCACGTCATTCCACTCTCCTAGACCACCTTTTGGGAGCCAAGGAATCCTGAAACAAACACCGAGGATGAACCCAGTCCTGGCGCCAGTGAGGTCCGGTGTACTCACCATTATTAACAATAATTTGTTTTGTTTTGTTTTGTTTTTTTTTTACAGGTGGTTTCTTTCTCCTTTTTTTTTTTTTTTTTTTTTACAGGCAGAGTGGACAGTGAGAGAGAGAGACAGAGAGAAAGGTCTTCCTTTGCTGTTGGTTCACCCTCCAGTGGCCGCCGCGGCCACCGCGGTGCGCCTTGATCCGATGGCAGGAGCCAGGAGCCAGGTGCTTTTCCTGGTCTCCCATGGGGTGCAGGGCCCAAGCACCTGGGCCATCCTCCACTGCACTCCCTGGCCACAGCAGAGAGCTGGCCTGGAAGAGGGGCAACCGGGACAGAATCCGGCGCCCCGACCGGGACTAGAACCCGGTGTGCCGGCGCCGCTAGGCGGAGGATTAGCCTAGTGAGCCGCGGCGCCGGCCTCTCTCCTTTTTTTTTTTTTTTTAAGATTTATTTTATTTATTTGAAAGTCAGAGTTACACAGAGAGGAGAGGCAGAGAGGTCTTCCATCCCATGGCTCACTCTCCAGTTGCCTGCAATGGCTGGAGCTGTGCCGACCCGAAGCCAGGATCTAGGAGCATAGCAGAGAGCTAGATGGGAAGTGGGGCAGCCGGGACTTGAACCAGTGCCCATATGGATGCTGGCGCTTCAGGCCGGGGCTTTAGCCCGCTGCGCCACAGCGCCATCCCCACAATTATTAACAATAATTTGTAAAAATAAGTTTTTGTACTCTGTGCAAGTACTTTCAAACTCTTCTGAAGCCTGGTTGGCTTCATGAGAACACCGCAGTGGTCATTGTATTGTACACTAGGAAGATGTATCATGCACGTCTTTAGCCCCTGTGCAGCTGTGTCCATAGTGTAGCGTTGCCTGTGCAACTGCTTCCTTATGGCTGGTATACACGGCTTCAAATATCAGCCAACTTGGAAACTGCTCTTTTCCGAGAATGGCACTAAGTCATATTCCAGGTGGTTTATGAACTCCATTAGTGTTCCTCTCTTCACTTACTTGTCAGCACAAGCTTACTATTCAGGGATCTTGAACCTCCAACAAGGGGAGTGTGGCCCCCCTGCTTGACTAAGAGCTTGGTCCAACAGGAGGATTTGGTGGGCACTCCCCACAGCTGCTCTACTGCGGGTATTGAC